AATAATAATGATAATAATAATAATAATAATATTAATAACAATAATAATAATAACTTTTCGTTTTCGTGTCAGGCATGATTTAAATGAAATATTTAGCTTTGTAAAAATTAATTAATTTTTTTTTTTTTTTAAATAAAATTATTGTGACTCGTTACCTATTTCGCTTCCTCCCTCCCCTCCCTCCCTCCCTCCTTCCCACCATCTCCCCTGCAAATAAAGGTATCTATTGAAAATTTTTCTCAGGATGATGATTAATAATACTAATAATAATGATAATGATAAAACGAAGTCAATTCGGTAGACAGAAAAAACTTTCATAAAATTAAATATATATGTAATTGAAAACTTATTATTATTATTATTATTTTCTTTACGTATTCTATGATTTTTCTTTTATGAATGATATTTGAATTTGAACAAAAAGAAAATTCCTATCGAGATATTTATATAATAATAATAATAAAAAACGAAACTAACTAATATTTGTTCCTGTTATTAATTGAATCTTACAAAGAGAGAGAGAGAGAGAGATATGATTGTGTTGATTTTAATAAATTTATCGTGACATTTATTATTATTATTATCATCATTAGTCAATGTTTAGCTTAGTTTGAAATAAATAATATATACATATGTCATTAATTATTATTTATTACAAGCAATTTGACAAAAGTTTTTTTTCTTTTTTGTTTTTTATATTAATCAAATTTCCGCCATTTTTTCATTATTCTCCTCTCTCTTAAAATCATTAAATTTTAAAAAAAACTTTTTTTATGTAATGTGAAACTGACAATAATTGTAAAAAAATTATAAAAAAAAAAAAAATCATTTTTCGATATATAAATATTCTGCTCAAATATTTTCTCTCTCTCTCTCTCACTCTTTCTCACTCTATTTTATTTTATTGTTGGAAAAATTTTTTTTGTCGCCATTTTGATTAAAATATTATATAAATATTATTATTATTCAACTTTTGTCAAATTGCACTCTAAATACATTTAACATATATATATATGAATGTAAAATAATAATAATAATATTAAACTTTGAGTGCTTGCTAATTAAATAAATTTAAACTATCTCTCTTTACTTATAAACAATTTCCACATGTATAAATTTCTTCTTTTTTTTTTTCTTTCTGAACTGATAAGTTATTCAAATTACTTATTATTATTATTATAAATATTATTATTATTATTATTATCATTATTATTATTATTATTATTATTATTATTATTATTATTATTATTATTATTATTATTGAAAAATAAACAGCTTACGTAAAAATGTAATAATAATATTTTTAATTCACGCTCTATCGATCGTTTAACGATAATAATAAATAAATAAATAAATAATTTATTTATTTTTTTTTTGTTTGTATACAACAAAATGTATAGAAAAGTAAAAAATTAATAAAAAATTAATAAAAAAAAAATTAAAACTGTTATTTATGTTAATAAAAAAAAAATGTAGAAGGAAAAAAAATAAATGGCTTCATGTATAAAATAAAAATAAATAAAATATCAAATAAAGGTGTTAAAAAAAAAAATATTTTCCATTGTTTATTCATTCATCATTCCTTTTTTTTTTTTTTTAACTTAACCAATAATAATAATAATGATTCAAATATTTTCCAACATGACACATAACCTATGTCCATTTAATTAAACTTACCTCAAATCATTTCATTTTAATATATAGACATTGAATAACATAAAAATGGATGACTGATTATTAATTAACATTCAAGTATTTTGACAAAAAAAAAGTTAAAATTTTCTACCCGTTGCATAAATAATTTATGTATAATAATAATAATAATAATAATAATAATAATAATAATAATAATAATAATAATAATAATAATAATAATAATAATAATAATAATAATAATAATAATAATAATAATAATGTTTTGTCAAAACAAGATAAACAAACGATTTTTTCTTTTTAATTACAATTTTTTTAAATAAATTTAAATATTAATTATTAATTATTTTTAAGGAAGACCCACTTCAACTATCATCATTACATTATTTGTTTGTTAAATTCGTAAACATAAGTTTCTACTTTTTTTTAAATGAAAAAATTTTTTTATTTAGTTTTTGTTCAATAACTATAATAATTAATAAAAGTTTAAGGAACACTTGTGTGTAAATATGTTAATAATACTTATGGAAATTAACCGACACATGACAAACATTATAAACACAGCCTATATTTGTGTGTGTGTGTGTGTGTGTGTTTGTGTGTCTCTTTGTTTGAAAGTGTGTAAGTATTTTTATACACAAAATATTCAATAATCTATATGTTAAATCTTAATAAATATTTATTCATATTAACTTTTGTAAGGTTCAAGTCAAATGTTGCACTTAAATAACTATTTTTTTTTAAAAATTCTCATAAGCCATTTCGAGTTAAAAATTGACTTCTTTCCCCCTCCCCCCCTTCCCATCAAGTCAGCGATCGGCCCAAATAATAATTATTTATTTACCTTCAAACTAAATTCAAAGAATCATCTTCATGTTATGTTTCCTTGAGTAAGTACCGAAGACTCTGTTCTGTGTCCAGACATACTTACTGGAATGTTAATCGCTATGCTCGGTGTTAAATTTGTCGCATGTTTTGAACCTTCTACTTTACCTAATCTTTCATTAAGAGCTTTTAATGCCTTTTGTCTGAAACATAAAATTATGTATAAATGTTTTTGAATTTTTCTTTTTACAATTAATATAAACAGAATAATTAATTTTTTGTATTATATTTTAATATTTTCATGAATCATACCTTCGTCTTTCCATATCGTGAGGGTCCAGCCCTGGAAGAGAAACTGTTACTCCTGTTGGAGCAACAGCTACGCTAACTTGTTTGACAGTTCTTCTACATATTCTTGCTTTTACAAGTATTTTGTAAACACTGTTTCCTACTACGGCCATTGGAGGTTGTAAAACATTGGGAAAGAAACTAAAACATACAATTTTTATTAAAGTTATAGTAAATTGTTTTTCCTATAAAAATCATACTTAAAAAAAATATTGTGTAAAGATAATACCTTGCAAAAGTAAAATTATCAGCCATGTCTCCTTTAGTTCCATTGCTATGCCTTTGATAAAACCTTAAATAAATCCAACTGACAAAAAGTCCAGAACCAAACATAATAGGATGATCACTATCCAAGAGTCCTATCGCCCAAAGTAAAACTGAGACTAGTTGAACAGTCAAAGGTATATTTCTAAACAATGATTATACCTTTAATTAAAACTACAGCAATAAATAATAAAATATTTAACATAAATTAATTAATAGAAACAAAAATTACTGTGAATACTTTTAAAAAATTTAAACTGTTATAAATAAATCAAAATTTTAATTGAATAGTAAACTATTGTCAAAATGTTGTCTCATACAAATAAAAAAAAAAAAAAAATTATTAAATTTTATTTACAAATTATTTAGGAAAACTAACCTATTTGAAAATTTTCCTAACGGTGTTTTTAATATCAAATGATCAGGCATTATTTGTTTGACAGCAACACAAACTCCAGCGATATAACCCGCAAGGCCGTGAACGTGAACACCGAATAAAAATGAAGTACGATACGTTAAATAATATAAGAGAATATAATAAGAAGTACTCAAAACTGCAACACCTAAATTCACAACTGCGAAGAAAATCAACATTTCCATTTGACCCCATAAGGGTTCAATTAATTTACCGCACAATCCAACAGTTACTATATCGACACACACTTCCCAAAAATGTATTTCTAAAAAGCAAAACGTGAACGGAGTCCACAAGCAAAACAAGGATGATGGGAGCATGTAACCCGGTGTCACGCTGACAGCTTTTATGGCCGCCTCGGAAAATGATAAAAAGTAACTGAAAAATATCACTACACATATACATTTCACTGGAGTACTTGTATTTCCTAATAATGCTAAAAACTGTTGACGAACATAAGGTATATTTCTCGGTAAACTTTTTATATCTCCAACTGAATTATACGCCATCTTTAATGGCTATATTATTATCAATTGGCAGCAAACGGAAGTTGCGTAAAAGTCATAGACGTCGAAAACCGTACATTTCCTATTGTTTACTTTTATAATTTAAAAATTTCCCGCCATTTTTTAAAAATTATTTATTTAATATATATATTTCAAATTAAAAAATTATAATAAAATTTATTTTATTAAAAAAACACATAATCAAAAAAAAAAAAAAAAAAATTAAAGGCAAACTATTATCATAATTATTATTATCAATATTTTTTTTTTATAAATAAAAATTAAAAAAAAAAAAAAAATACTGTGGAAAAAAAAATTATAAATAAAATTTTTTTTATTTTTTTATATCTACTTGTAAATTTCTTTAATTTTTATATATATTTATAAAAAAAAAAACTTACTATATAAAGCTTATTTAAAAACAAATAATCGCACATTATAAAATTTTTTTTTTTTTTTGTAATCTACATTTAAAATTTATTTATTTAAAAAAAAAAATTCTTTTTTTTTAACTACAATTAAATAATGTACATTTTTTTTTTTTTTTTTTTAAACACGTATTAAAAACTTTTTATTTTTTTTTTCTTTGTTCAATTTTATCCCCCTATTTACATAACATATTTAATATGTAACCTAAAAAAAAAAAATACACATTATTTGGCATTTTATTGCGTTTATTAATTTTTTAAATATAAAAAACGAGAACGCACATCATTTTTTTTTTAAAAGTGGATTTTCTTTGCTTTTACCCTCTTTTTTTTTTCTTTCAAATTTTTATAAACTTTAAATAAATACAAAAAAAAAAAAATATTATTTATACAAGATGGTTATTAATTTTCTCCATTTCTTCCTATTAATAATTTTAATATTTAATTAAAAATTAAAATAATAATAATAATTTTATTGACAAATTTTTTTATAAAACTAACTGACTGTTTGTTTATACAAATACACCTTAATTAAAATTATTGACCTGAAACCTGAAACCTGGTATATATTTATTAAAATGTTATTGCTCGTAAGAATACACAATTTATTTGAGATAAATAATTAAAAAATTAAAAAATTAAACCGTAGGACAAGGTGGGGGGGGGAGGGGCGGTAAACATAAAAATGCACGGCAGTATGTATGTATGTATTTTTCCAAATTTAAAACTAACAGACGGGGGGAGGGGGGGGGAACTTAAAAAATATTAATAAAATCAGACTAAACACACTGTCTATAAAACAACTAAATAATTTTTTTTTTTTTTTTTTTTTTTTTTTTTTTAAACGTAACAAAAAGAAATAAAAACAATAAACTAAAAAAAACAACATGAATGAGAAACTTAAATTAATTAAACAATAATAATTTAATAAATTAACAAAATGGCGGTAAGCCAACAGTCTTTAGACAAAAAAAAAAAAAGAAAATACTATACAAATCTCTCTCTTTTAAAAAAAAAAAGAAAAACTAATTCGAGATTTTTTTTATGTGTGGTGACATTTTGGCAAGATAAGTGCTTGAGATACGATAAATGATAATAATAATAATAAATTGATTCCCCTTCAATCCGTTTTACCTCGTTCAAAATATTCCTTCCATGAACGAAGTATCCAAAGATTGTATTAGAGTTTTCATAAAAGACATTTCTTTTCTTGCATTGTCGAAAATCACGCTCGGATCTTGAGATGTGCATCTTAAACAATTCGGAGCCATGACCATGGCCAAATTTGAAGCGTCCATTTTTGTTATTTGAACTACTTCGTCGCGGGAAAAAATCTATAAAAAAAAAAATCGTGTTAAATTACAACCCTATAAAAAAAAAAAAAAAACTAAAAAAAAAAAAAAATGTAAAAATGTTTGGTTGCTCACTTGCAAAAATCTAACTAAATAACATAAAACTAATCTGTTTAAATTTGGTAATCTTTGAACGATTGCCAATGCGAATTCAGGATCGTCATGATGGGTCACGCATTCGTTATACAGAGTATCAGGTATCAATGGCTCGTATAATTCCCGATACCTGAAATTTAAATAAATTTTAAAATAATGCATTCGGAAGGTTTAGAAGAAAACCTGAATGATTTACCATAATTTAAGAAGAGAAGCTGGAGCATGAGCATCTATCGTTTCGGTAGGAACTTCCCAAAAATCAATTTTTGTTTTCAACGAATTCACTTCATCGACATCGGCAGAAACTCTAAAGATTCCTTCAGTTTGAGCACCTGAATGTGGGTTTTTGTTTACAAAACGTATAAATAAACCTTTTTATTTAAATTAATCAAAATTCAAATGACGGATGTACCTTGCAATCTAAGAATTTCTTCGGATAAAACCGTTTGAACCCAAGGGAGTCTCCTGTTTGGAAATCTTTCCTTTTGCAGGTACATGACTTCTTCTAATGTGCTTCCAAACATGCTAGTTCTAAATATTTGATGCTGAAAAATCAAAGGCTTATATTTATTTCCTTACGAAAATTATTTCAGTGTGGAATAAGGAAAAAAAAAATACCCTTGATTGATCGATTTCTTCAATCGTAGGCTTTCTCGGTGGTTTTTTTCCATTCGCACCGATTCTTTCCAATCTTTTACAACCTATCGTCGCATAATGACTAATTTGAACGTGTAAAGGCCATTTAACAACCTAAATCAATTTTCATTTTTATAAAATATATATTAAAAAAAAAAAAAAGCGGCAACATCAATGGTGTCAGTTAGGTTTACCTCGGGAAAGTCAAAACCGGGATCTCTATGCCTATTTAAATACCCTTCCAAATAAGTTTGAAATTTCGCGCTGGGAGGAAAAAAATTTAAACAAATGGCCATAAGTTCCCATCCTCGTCGCAAACTTTCCCTACAAAAAAAAGTTTTCATTTTTCGAAAAAAAAAAACCTAAATTTTTAATATGATTGCGTGTATAAATCTCGTACGTACTTTCCAGGATTTTCCGTCGTTTGCCTGCATATTTGTATGTACAATTCATCTCTTAAAACAGGTTTGCTGTAGCCTACGTTACAAATATCAAGAGCGACGCTGTTTAACGTCATGCCAAATTTAGCTTTCCTATCTGACATGTATATTTGGACTAGTTTAAAAAGTTCACACGCGTCCTTTTTTAAGGCTTTTTCCGACAGTACCAACATGGGTTTTCTTATAGGATCCTAAAATAAAAATAATTTAATTTCTCCGGAATAAAGTCAACAAGTAATGATGATGAAAATATTAACAAATATTTTTTACCTTTGACCAAGATAGCATATCCCTTACGGAAAACTTTTTCCTAAAAATCCCTTTTTTGTGAATGTTAAGGTGACCTTGAGCATATTCCTCAATATCGCTTTCGGAAGGAAGTTTTTTATCCCTGGATAACGATGCCGCCCGAGGAGACTGAAATACATAATAATTTTAATTTATAAAAAAAACCGTTATTTTTAATATTTAAAGGATCGTCGTTTGATTGATTTACCTCACATCTGTGATCTGTCGTATCCTCTGGAATACTTTGAGATGGAAGCGAAACAGGTCGATTTGCATTCTTCATTAAAAATTATAATAGTCGTTAATTATGAAAAGATATTTTAAATTTAATGGAAATTTGTTTATTATTTCAACATACCTCAGTTTTTTCAACGATTGAAGAAAAATGTGAGGAAAGAGATCCCGTCGAAGTTTCCTTTTTACGTTTTAAAGAAGCGTGTTGGGTTTCAGATGTGCTGTGAGGTACACCGTGAGGAGGAAGTCGAGGAGGATAAGGAGATGCCACGCCACTGTAGTAAACCACTTGTGGAATTGTATTGACTGCCATTCGAGATTCCAAACTCTCTATGTATTCCACATCATTTTTACATTCTACAAAAAAAAATTATTAAGGAAATAATAATCAATGAGAAAGAAAATTAAATTAAATTTTTTACTTACCGCGAGAATAATTTTCATATCTTTTCAAAAATTCCTCCTGTTCAGAATAATTTGGATCGTGCAAATATTCTTGACTGCTTGAATCTCCTTGATTGGACATTCCCTCATCATCGGCAAATTCATCACTGTCGTAATCAGGTCGACCAACGGAAGCCTCGTCCTCGGAGTGTAAAGAATCCATTTCATCGTTTAAAGGATCTCCAAATTTATAACAACCTTCAAATTTTAAAATTGTATTTTTCTTAAATATTCTTACACTGGTTTGGAAAACTAATTTTTAAAAAATTTACCTGAAAGTTTTGCTTGTTCCAAAATATATTGTTGCAAGGGAAATAAATGAGATTGATTTTTGATTTCCATATTGTAAGGTTGATAATCTAAATTGCTGTACAAAAGAGTCGAATTTCCCTTTTCCATTCCTCTTTCCATTGAATAATATTTCACGTGACTTGACACATTACCGTGATTTCCATTTTCTCTGAGTAAATCTTTCGAATCGTTTTGCCTTTAAAATACAAAATTTTTAAATAAGGAAAAAAAAAAAAACTTGGGAAAAATAAAATCAAAGATGATAATCGTACCTATAATCTCCAATTTTATTTTTGTACAAATCTTCTCTCAGTGCATTTCGAGTTTCGTTGTAATTTTTTTTAGGCCTTTCTTTCGATTCTCCAGAATCCCAAGTCAACTGTTTCTTAAATATGTCTTCGACGTTTTCATCGCGTTCTCTATAGGTTTCTTTGAGAGGTATTTTCCTTTGACTTTCTTTTTTATCCTCGTATGATTGCATTTTACCACCATTCGAACGAGAATGATTTGAATGCCTACCGAATGATGGAGTTTCAACGTTTGAAAAAACGTTTCCTTGATTTAACCGATTGTTTTTTCTTGAACTCGATACGGGACTGGAATAAAAAAAAAAGAAAATACGTCTTCGACGAAGAGACCATGTTTAATTTTTAAACGAATTTTTTAATTTTCTTACCTAGAAGGAGATGTTGTGGGACTAAGAGATGTGTTCGAAGAATCGTTTTCACTACTTCCTGACTGATATTCATTTTCCTTACTATATCGTTTACATTCGCGATTTCGATTACTCTCGTTCGATTTGTGAATTTTTCGAGTTCGAGAAGGCGTGATCGAAGCTAAATCTAAGTCTTTTGCAGATTTTGAAGCTGTTGAAGCAGACGACAATACACGTTGTCATAAATTATATAAAATGAAACAATAATTAAAAATTAAAGACACGAAGCGGTGAAATTTATGAAAAATAAATAATTTACGATAATAATTATATTATTTTAAAATAAATGTTACCAACCAACGCCAAATAAAATCCCTAATAATTTACCTAAATGTAATTGCTTCCTTCTGGCCTGAGGAGTAGATTCTATACTACGCATTCCCGATTGACTCGGTGGCAAGAAATATTTTTCATGCATTGAATCCTCTTCATCCTAACACACAAAACCATTTTTTTTTTTTTTCAAAATACATTTGTATTAAAAAAAAAAATTTTTTTTTTATTTTATAAAAATTTACCAAAGAAACATCTCTCCTTTGAATAAAACTATAACTTCGTGCTAGATCACTTCCATTTCCGGTTATTATTGTTTCTTTAGGAGCTTGTAAATGTTTTTCCGTTTTAGATCTCCCTCTTAAATTTTCATGACCGTAATTACTATAACATCCACCGATTCCCAGTGAAGTTTCCACATCGAAACTCTTTTGTTTCGCTATGGATATATTTGTCCCAGGTTTAAAACCGCTAATGATACTCTGCGAAGTCGTTGTATTCCCGCCACAGGATTTGTTAACCGATTTAAACACAGAACTATTTTCAACTGCGGGGGAAAAAAAAAGAAAAATGATCCATTTCCGCATTTACTTTTGAAATTTATTTTAAAATAATTACCCCGAGTCGGTTGAGAATTAATTTCTTGTAATGGTTTCTTATCGATGGCGGATGCACTTGTACTTGTCGGTAGACTAGTTCCTTGATAACGATTTTGTCGAGGAGATTCTAATATTCTATGATTATCCAATGAAGTTCTGGAACTGGAATCGCTCGATCTTCCCGAATCCTTTAAATAAATTTAATAAAATATATATATTTTAACCACGCATCATTTCTGATAAAAAATACTCACCTGAGATTGATTTGCCTTTTGCGGAGTCTTCTGTTGGCTACTATTACTCCCATGATGGTGATGTGAATGCCCGTGAGAATGAATGTGTAAATGAGAATGATGATGAGATCTCCTTGATCCCCTTGGAGAACTACCGGGAGACGTTTGAGTTTCGCAAGAAACCGAAGTCTGCAGAAGCAGAAGAAAACAAAAAAAAAAAAAAGAAAATCCTTAATAAAATTATTACAAATCGTTCATTCAATCTACTTTGAAACAATGGCTAGCTAGTTTTTTTTTTTTTTTTCCGTTAAAATTTTTTATAGCGTCACGTCCTATAATTAACTTCATTTTACTACTCTTTCTTTCTCTTTTTTGTAATTAATATATCCATTCTTATCTTTTTTTTTTTTTTAAATTTAATAAACTAAGTTTTAAATAGATCATTAAAATGTAAACTCTTTGCATAAAAAATTTTATTCATTTCATTTTTAAAACTTATTATCCAAATTTAAAGTGTTTTTTTTTTATTTATTTATAATTGGACAATTAATATCTGATGGCAACATTTTCATTGTTATTTACATCCCACGCATTTACAAAACATTTTTTTAGCGACGAACAAAAAAAAAAAATTAAAAAGGAAGAATATTATTATTATTATTATTAGTCAAATAAAAAAAAATTTTTCATCGTTAAATTGTCGGAAATTTTATTGAATCGAATTGTGAAACAAAATAATTAAAAATTTTAACAATTGGTTAAAAAAAAATTAATCAGGCTGATGTTTTAAAACAATTCTAATTTGCAGACTAAATGGAAAAGTTTTTTTTTTTTGTTTTTGTTTTCCTGTATTCCCGACTGAATGAGAAAAAGAATTAATTAAGTTTAAGTTGAGTCAAAAGGTAAAAGCGACAAATAATAATAATAATAATAATAAAAACAAGCGTTTTTGAATAGACAGAAATAAAAAAAAAAAAAAAAAAAAAAAAAAAAAAAAAAGTTTGTTGCAATTACAATGCGAGGTCACGAAAAGTTAAAGGAAATGATATTCAATTAATAAATTTTTAAACCGACTTTATTTTTTTTTTTTTTTTTTAATGTTGGTAATAAATAAATATTAAATAGATTGTTTTTTAAAAAAGCAGGTGCAAGGGGAAAAATTTTACAACGATAAATACTCGACGGTTAAATTATTGTTTTGCACTCCTGTCAATGTCAATTTATGTCATTTTTATTCCACAATGATTAACATAATTTAAAAAATTTTTTACAACGCATTTTCTAAAGGAATAAATAAATAAATATGGCCTTAAAACCGTTAAAATGCAACAAAATTTGGCATTCGAAAAAAAAGGAAAAAAAGTCACGATTCCAAAAATATTAATTAATTAATTTAATAATGACTTACTTTAGGATGAGAATTTATAACCGGCCTGGGTGGTCTAACACATTTTCCAGGAGTTTGAGTTCCAACGGATTCTTTACTTTTACATTCTTCATTTCCATCTTCTCCTTCGGGTTCCGTATTTTGCTTTAACGTCTGTAAAAAAAAAAGGTAAAAAAACGTTTGAAAATGACGTTAAAAAATTTTTCGTTTTCATTATCGGCGTAGCCTTATTCGATATTTACTTGTAATTTAGCAAGGGGTATAATATCGCAATTACTCGGCCTGTGCCAAACAGTTTTTTGCGATATGGCATTATAATAATAAAATCTCGATGTGTTTTGGTCAAATAATTCCCACCATTGATTGTCGTCGGTTTTTTTAACAGGAACTCCAGGTGGAGGATCCCAAACACATTCTCCAGTCGTCAAGTTGGCATACATATGCTCTTTCGTGCGCGGTTCTATTATTTCCACCCATTCCATCTGTTAAAACAAAACAAATACAATTAAATGGAAATAACTAATGATAAAACTTTCAAAATTTCTTTTTTTTTTTTTTTTTTAATCGGTCAGAAAATTCGTTTTTAAAATGTATTTTAAAAAAAAGAAAAAAAAAAAATTGAATTATGTAATAGTTTAACAAACTAAATTTCAAATATTTATTATAAAAAGGGCTGAGGCTTACAATAATACAAATCATTTGGATAGAAAAGATTAAATAAATCAAAGGTCGGTTGTTGGATGTTTGATATTATTTAAAAAAATAAATAACATTTTTATTATAATTTAGCAAAATATCTAAAATATTTTTATTATTTTAAATGATTATTTTTTTTTTCTAAATTAAATAAATAATAAGAAAATTTTCATATTTATATTATTGAATAATGTATTAAATATAAAATGTTTCAAAAACTTAACTTTTAAAATAATAATAACGACGCCATAATAAAATTAATAAACTCTAATCCATAGTCATTCATTTAAACATTAAAAATTTTTTTTTCTTCAATAATAATAATAATAATAATTAAATGCTAATATGTATATGAAAAGTTTAATTAAAGAAATATTAAAAAAATTGACAAACTATTTTTTTTTGGTATCTTTATTGTAATGAATACTTAAATAAAGAAAGTACCAAAGTGGTTTCGCAAAAAATGGTACAAAATCAGGAGAATAATCGGCAATATTAATGTAAAAAAAGGTATAAATAAGTAGCTGGGAATAAGTGTTTTGCGAAAGAATGAAATTTAAATTTATTCTGACCACTAGAAAATCATACTAATTGCTTTCAAAAGAATAATAAAAAATTATGAATGGATTTTTTTAGTAAATGTTAAATTTAGTATATAATTATTACAATTAAATCATTACAGATATTTAAATAATTGAATTTAATTGATTTTAATAAATGATCAATCAAGTATTAATATTTAGGATAAAAATAATTAAAATTTTAATTGCAAGGTAAGTTTAAATCAATGAAATCTCATTTAAATAAACAATTTAAGAAAGAATGTTTTATTATTTCATCTAAAACTCCCTAATCCCTTGAAACAGTTAATTGTTTTTTAAATCCATGTCTAAAAAGATTGGAAAAATTACCTAATTATAAATATTGGTAAAAATTTTAGTTGTAGATAATTTTTATTTTTTGGCAAAAGAAAGATAAATGAAAGAATATGATGACAGAAAGGAAAAACGTGGTAGAAAATTATTATTTGAAAATCATTATTTAAAATTAGTTAGAGTTTAATAAAAAATTTTATTTTAAAAAACCCTAAAGCATTAACATAAAAGGAGATGTGTTCAGAAAAAAAAAACGAGCTTTAACAGTTATTTTTCTCATTTCTTTAAATACTAATCACAATTTAATCATCATTATTTTATATAACTTGGTATTATTTGTCTTTCTCGGTTCTAAATAAAAACTAGTGAACGAGTGTATGAAAATTGTTTAGTTTTAAATAAAATTTTGAATGGGGCAAGGCCCTGACGGGGAAAAGTATTGATTTTGAATTTTTAATAAAATTATAACTAAAAAAAATTTTTTTTTATTATAACTTTGACAATACCTTTGAGAAATTGTTTACTGTTATTCATTAAAACATATATAATTAGGTATTAACAACGGTGACGATTTATTAAAACAAATAAACGATGTGTATAAACTAATATCCAACATTTAATGGAAGCCATATTGAAACTAGAGCTTCATTAAATGAAATCTTTTTCAAAGGAAATTTCGTGGAAGCAGATTAAATTATTATCAAAATAAATAAAAAAAAAAAAACTTTAAAAACTTTATTCTTAACATTACTTTTTCTTTTTTTAATTTAAACATCGGCGTAGGCTTACTTATTTATTGACAAATTTAAAATAAATAACTGTAATGGTAATTTATTATTAAATAAAATAAAATAATTTTTCATTTATTAAAAAAAAATAAAATAAAATTTATTTTTCGTACAAATACAGTATTGAAGGATACCCTTAAGTTTTATTTTTTTTTAAATTAAAATCATTTGCAACTCGTATAAATAACATAATTCACTCTTATTATTTTTTTTTTTTAACGAGTTTTGATGAAGGAAAAAAAATTAATAACAAATTTAATACCAAATCAATATATTTTTCTACAAATATTTCAACTACGACAAACGAGCCTGACTAGCATTAGTTTACAAATAAATTATTTATATAAATATATATATATATATATATATTGCAATACACGGATCATATATATCTCTGTAAATATATATAAATATGGATGAATTTTCGATTTTTATTAATTATTATGACATAAAAGCCAAAAAAAAAAAACGACATAAAATAAAAATATTACTAGTATAAGTTATACAACATGAATTTTAAACTACGACGATAAACAAAAATAATTTTTTTTTTCTTTTTTTTTTTTTTGTTTTTATAAGGCGACATTATTTAATTATTTATTTATTTATTTTCGAATAACAAACGTTTTCCTTTTCTTTTTTTTCCAAATAACAATTTTAACAAATTTATTTATTTAAAAAAAAAAAAAAATACAAAAAAATAACAAAAAGAAAAAATAATCGGTGATTTTCATTTATGATTCAATCAATAAGTCTTTATTAATTTAATAAATAAATAAAACTAATAAATATACGTTTATTACGACAAGCAATTTATTTTAGCTATATTAATAATTTTTGATTATTTGTTCCGAAATTAAATCAAGCAAACAAACATTTGTGCAATTATCGTGGGAAAAACACTAAAATAATTTTCATATTTAAATTCTAAAAAAAAAAAAAAAAAAAAGAAAATTCGGTGCCTTGACATACATATATATATATATATATATAAGAGTATAAAAAAAAAAAATTTTTCAAATATAAAACATTTATTTTGTGCGACACTCTCAACACAAAGTCAGTGAATAAACAATTACAAATTTTTTAACAAAACAAAATACGATAAAAAAAAAAAATAATGTAATGGCCAGACAAAATATTCAGGAAGAAGCCAAATTATAAGCAATTCATGCATTTATCATGTTTGTTTTTTGTTTACTTCATTTGTATTTCATTTAAATAAATAAACACGCGCACATGCACACGCACGCACACACACGAACACTCTTGTTCAATATTTATGATAATATTATACAATATTCGAATGAAAAAATATATATATATATATGATACCTTAAATGATTTTAACAATTTTATTTATTTAAATTTCAGCCTTTTAATAAAAAGCTCAAAAATTGTTTTAATTATTATTATTATTATTATTTACGTTTACTTTTCTTTTTCTTTTCAAATTATATTTTATTTGATTAAAAGTAATTTAAAAATAATTTTATAAAAAAAAATAAAATTTTTTTTTTTTTTTAATAACTTTTAAATAAATGATTTATGTCTAGAATTTTAAAAATGTAGAAAAAAAAAAATAATAATTTTCACAATAATTAAAAGAAATAAAAGAGCCTAATTAATCAAATAATTATTAGGTAGGTAGCGAGCGACTTTTTGACATATAATTTTTTAATATTTTTTTTTTTTTCTTTTTCTTTTTCTTTTTTTTTTTTTTTTTTTGATTTATTTTTCTTCATACACACGCACATACCCTTTACGACAATGTTTTAGCTTAGTTTTATTCTCTTTATATTGGATTGATAAGAGGATCCACCATCGATGTTAGGACACCGCTAAAATTAATTTTAAAAAAAATATTCCAAATCAATAATTGAAAAATTTAATTAAATAATAATAATAATAATAATAATAATAATGATAATAATTACCTCGCTCATGACTGCGATTGGAGTTTCACCGGTGGCTAAGGCGACTTCATGTTCGACCAAATAAAACATGTACTCGTCATATAGTAAACGTATTAAATGAAAAGAACCAAAACTGGCAGCAGATCTTAGCGTGAGATCTCGTATAACCATAGAACTATTGCAACAACAACAACAACAACAAAAATTCAATTAATTATTTGAAAAACAAAACCGACGCATTCACTGAAAAATTTATTAGAAAAAAATTTTTTTGCCTGTAAAAACTCCATTTTAGTAAAAATTGCCTCGCCGCTTTTGCAAAATTAGGTTTTCCCTCGAAAGGTTTTAAAACTTGTGCCACGACGTTTTTCAACCACAAAGCCCAAGATTCCAATGAATTTTGCTGTTGTAATGTCGATTTAAAATCCGCTTCTAATCGTTGAACGACCGAATCCTCGCATTCGCACACCCAAGACGCTTGCTCTTGAACGTTGTGAAAATCCACGCGATTCAAATCCGCCAACATTTGAGTTATTTGTGAAGAATTTTGTAAAACGGCTCTTGCTGCTTGGGCAAGATGATTCAAAGATGTGTAACGTCTAAGAGTTTGAGCCAATGCAGAAACCGCTGAAACCTTAATAAATAAATAATAATTTTTTTTTTTTCCCAAAAGTTTTAAAAAAAAAGAAACAAAACTAATAATAATAATAATAACAACGGATAATAACCTTAATCAAAACCATTTCTTGAGGGCATCCGTTCATGGCTCCGGTCAACCAATTTTCCAAACCCTTGGCGAAATTCCGTATCGATTGAGTTAACGAGCTAGGGATCGGTCTCAAAACATCCGGTATTAAAACTTGTACTATATTTTGATAGAAGACATAATCGACTGATCGCATAAATTCTTGAATCGGTTGCAATTTGCACAGAGAGTATAATTTCGACCTTTGAATGTTTCAAAAAGAAAAAATTTAAAAAAATTTGCAATGTTTTTTTTTTTTTTTTTTCAGTTAAAAGTAAAATTATACAAACTTGGATAAATATTTTTCTTCTTCGCACTCATCTCCGTTATTATTATCTTGAGATCTCCAAAATTCTCTCCAGAGACTTTCTATGGTTTGAAATTCTAAATTCAAAACCGCTTCCAAGAAAGCCTCGCAATGTTCTCTGTATATATTTCTTAAAGTATCCACATCTTCTAATGTTACATCAGAATTATCTTCAGGTAAGGAAATGAGTTTTATGGCAGGGAATTCTGGAATGGCTCCAATTCCATCACCTAAATACTGTTGGTTGTCATTTGCCTAAAATTACACGATGAATAAAAATTTTTTTTTTTTTTTTTTTTGTAATTAACAAAACGAGTTTACTAAAATTTTTACTCGTACTTGAGGACTAGTATTGTGATTTCCAGAGGAATCATATTGGTTTTCGGTTTTCATGCCGGCTGTTTGTTTAAATCTTTTGTTGTTTCCTCCGCCGCCTCCTCTGGGAGTATTTACAACGGGATCTACTGATATATGAGTCAAACTGGATCCAGGTTTTATTCTTATTCCGTAATAATGATATTTTGAATTACCCCTGTCAGAAGAAAAAAAAGTATTTAAGTATAAACTATCGCCTTTTGAAAAATAATTTATTTTTGAGAAGTTAAACCTAGTACCTAGTACCCAATCTCCGTGTTCTTAAACCTAAAAATACACTTCTTATAAGTTTTCCAAAGGATGCAGCATTCACAGGATCCAATTTATGTTCACTGCAGTGTCTTAAATAATGGGCGTACATGGTTGATCTCGGTAAACTGACTCCTTCGAAACATTCGTAGTTTTCTAAAAGCCATTGAACCTAAAACGAAAAATAATAATATAAACAACTCACGGTTTGCGAAAAAAAAAAAGAAAACCTTCCAAACAAAAAGTTATAAATTAATTTTAACCGCAATAATTTATAATAAATGAATTTGTTTAATTAAGCACACTTACTGTTGCAGGTGAAACCCGGGTGGCATTAGATATATTACTGTCAATTCTTTCACCATCCATTGAGACTGCATTGTTAGACGATACCATGTAAACACCAGACCCATCCTTTATATAGTTCCATGCAGAGTAAGCGTTTCAAAGAGAACATTAAAACTTTAGTTAGTGTAAGCGGCGACGGCAAGAAAAACCCCTCAATAACCTCCAATTCAAGCAAAATTAATATTATATTATTTTGCAAAAAATAAATAAATGACAAGATTTTTACAATCGAGTTCAAAAGTATTCTTTATGAAGAATTCATTTTTTCTTTACGTGAAGAAATTAAAAAAATAAATAAACAATTCTATGGTTAAACAACCATTTTTTGTTTTTGCACAAAATACATAACATTACATTATACAACACACTACAAGACTACATAAATTTAATAATTTTATTAATAGATACCAAGTTTTGTAATTATATTACGCGAATAAAAAATCAAATAAAAGACGATTATTCAAACTAAATTTAAAATAATTAAGAAAAGTAATTTGAAAAAGTTGATGATTTTAGTCATTTACAAAGAATTACAAAGTAAAATTTTTAGTTTAGTACGCGTTGCGATATTAATTTTTTTTTTTATTTATAAACTTTCGTTTTTTAATAAATTAAAAACTCGCCGAAAGAATTTAAAATTCAAAGTAAAATAAGATCATACTTTAATAAAATAATTTTTTCCAGGCTACTTCTTTTTGATAAAATAAATAGAATTTGAAAAAAAAAAAAAACATTAAAGTAACTGAATAAAATGTAAAATAAAAAGGGAAAAAATAGGGAGGAGGTTATTGATGAAGGCAAAAGAATCTAACAAAAACTACATTTAAATTATTAACTTTAACCGAGTAATTAACACCTAAATCGCTTAGTCACAAAAATTTAAATTAAAATTTAAGATTTCTTACAGCATTTACTGTATCAGGACTAGTTCTTGAGCCGGTTATTATCGTATGAGCACTTTCGTGATCCACAGTTGGCTGTATCAAATAAGTACTTCCCGTGATTAAGCTTTGCCCAGTTTGAGCAACTTGAGTATAGGTAACCGCAGTATTTCCAGACGTATAATATTGTCCAGATCCAGGCGTGTAATTTTCTCCCACTGCAAAAACTGGATATGTTCTACGGGAAAAGTTAATCAAAATTTGAAAATATTCTCAATTTTCATATTTTGATGTTAAAAAATAAAATTTATAAATAACTGACAAATTCATGGAAACCTACATTTGTCCGTTGGTGGTTGTCGCGTAAATGGCTTGTTCTGTTCCATCTACCGTATATTGCACATAAGTAGGATGAACGGTAGAAACTTCTCCGACGGTTTCGTCATCAGCAACTATTTCAAATATGACAAAATTAAAAATTTTAATTGTAATTTTTTTTTACAGAAAAATTTAAAACTAAAAGAAAAATTTCCTCGATATAAAATTTCACATTACACTAAAATCTACCGTTCGTTTCATTTAAAATTCATTTAACAAAAAAAAAAAAAAATTTGATCGTGCACTCTCAATTAACAAAATACCTGCTGTGCTCACGGTGGTCAAGCTAGTGTAGGACCTTGTTGCTCCCTCTTTGTTAAGCAATATAAAAATTTGTAACCATTAGCCGAATTTTAAATCATCTAAGTATCAAGTACTAAATCTTAAAAAAAAAGGTAATAAATAAAAATTAAAAAACGTACCCGCAACTATGTAATGCGGTGTGTGAGGTTCCGAAGCGGGACTAGTGACCATAACTTGAGAAGAAACCTGAGTCGATCCATCGCTTGAATCCGGACTATCGCAACCTTCATCACTCTAAAAATTTATTTTAAATTTTTTGTTTTATTTTTTTATTAAACACCGAAAAAGAATATAGAATTTAAATGAAAA